CTTTTTCTTAGTCTTCTCATCATCCGAGTCTTCAGACTTATGATGTTTGTGATGGTGTTTCTTCTCCTTTTCTCTTTCTTTTCTTTTTTAGCTTTCTTCTCCTCTTTCTTGGCTTCAACAATCTCCTTCTCCTTTTCGCATTCAATGGACTTACTAGAATCCTCACTACTGTCACTCATGATCTCTGGGGTATTTTGTTCAATTTCTTTATCTTTTACAAGACCTAAGGTTTTCTTCAATTCATAGAAACCCTTTTTAATTTCTATATCAAACAAATTATAGTTACTATATTATAATAAATTGATTACTACAAAAATAGAACGCCACGTCATTACTATAAAAAATAGATTCAATTTTGGTAATTATAGTAAAGTAAAAAGCAAACACAAAACACACGAAATGATCAGAATTACTCAATCTAGTTTATAGTAAGTCTTCTTCGCTGGAAGAAGGTGTTGTTGTTCGAGGACTTTCTTGACAAGGCCGTACGACACTCTTGAATCTGGTTGTTCTCTCTTCACGTCTTGTAGTACTCTAGACACAACAAATTTGTTATATGTCTTGATCTGTTCGATGTGTGCATTAATGAATTGAAGTAAAAGTCCATGTTGCTTAGTCATCTTTCTTTCTTTGTCTTCCACAACAACTTTTTCATCATACCGATTGCCATCTGTCGGTGTTTTAGGCTGTCGAGCCTTCGAAGAGGACTTCTTGATATACACTTTTTGCTCATGTTCTTCTCCGGCTTTGTTTTTGACAAGGTACGTATAACAGTAGAAGAGTCTCCCATCTTTGTCCCTCACCAGTTCTTTATTCAAGCACTTCTTAGTCTTCAAATCCGGTTGTCCGACTGTTGGATAATTCGTGTCTTCAAAAACAGGGAGCTCAGGGAGAGTTGGTGGTTGTTCCAAATTTTGCATTGGCGGCATCATTTGCATTCTCATCAGCATCTCGGTTGCGTTCTGATCATTCAACGGGTTCAGAGACATTTCATTAAACATTGATGTTCGGATATCCTCGATGGGGGGTTGGATTTGTTGTTGTATATTCGGTTGAATGGTTTGTGGGACGTTTTGGACACTTCCAAGTTGTGGCAACTGCGCATTAGAACTCATCATCTGTATTTGTTGTACACCCTGGATGCCTTGGATTTGTGGGACAACACTTTGTTGCGTTTCCAAGGGACGTGGAATAACATTTTGAATAACATTTTGTTGCAAAGGCATTGTTGAGTGATCGGGGGCGGTTAATGTTATTGAGTTATTCAACTGTGGCGGAATGAGAGTTTGTTTTGGGACAAGTGTGTTTTGAGTGATGGGTAAAGTTTGGTCTTGTGTTTGTTGATGTGTGGGAAGAGATAAATCTGTTGGGATCTGGCCGAACGAATTCATACGACTGTTTAGTTTTGATTGATCAGGGCAATCTCAATTTGAGTAGTTCTGTTTTTTCTTCCGTTTTTTGTTTTTTTACTATTTTCTTTTATAAATTTTCCTTAATTTTATTATTTATTTTTTGTCTTTTAGGTTTTTTTTATAGATTTTCAGTTCTACCAATCAGTTTTTTCCAATTAATGACGAGTTGCAATGAACTTTGAGTTTTGAGAACTTTTTTCTTGGTTTACCCGATTATTACTTATAAAACAATATAAAATTTAAATAAAAAACAAACCAACGAATGCGATTTTATTATATGTATAATTTAATTTACTATTACTTTTAAATTACTGATTAATACTTTGTTATAATTAATAAACTATAAAATTATAAAACAGTACACAACATAGAAATGAATACACTAACATACAATTTTACACACACAATCAGTGTTCATCGTATACTTGTATCGCCTCGTCACTTTCTGTCTCTTCACTTTCACTTTCTTCCGTCCTGTTTGCGTTTTTGAGTTTATTAATTCTTCTGTGCCTGTAAGGGTCGAACATACAAGGGAACATAACAAATCCACTCACAATAATAGCGAGAATAGTCCCCACAAATTGGGCGATGATATAAAAGAGTACAGACCATGGAGAGAGTCCAAGTGCATTTGACATAAACATTCGACCAAAGGTTATACTAGGGTTAGCGACCATTCCTGATGGAAGTGTTAGAATTAAACCGCCCACGATAGCAGCGACTGGTTCGGAAGGTTTTATAGTCTTGTGGATACAAATCATGACTGTCAAATTTAAAAAGAATGTCCCAAGACCTTCGGAGACCAAATTTCGGAAGCTACACGTGTTGCTTGGGATCTCTAAGAAATTATCTACGTGATACAAATAATAGATAAACATTACTTGAAGAAAAGCGGCAGTCAATTGTACTATAACACTCCACACAAATTCGAAGAAATTGATGATGCCAAGTACTAAGTAAATGAATGATATAGTCGGGTTGAATGAAGGTGAATAGTACTCTGCAAAGATTAATAACTCGACATATAACACCATAGTCACTGCTAATGTATTTGCTATTAACCAAAGTAACTTTTGGTCTAAAGTGATATCAGTCTTATTCCCAAAGAAGTTCATGTATATGGCATCACCAACAAAGTTGAGAAGAAACGTCCCAATCAGTTCAGTGACAAAAATCCGGAAGTATGTAAATCGATTCAAAAAATAAAGGACTTTCCATATCAAAAGTACGGGATACCACACTTTACGATGCTGCTTCGTCTGAAGCTTGCGCTCCCGCATTTCGGCAGCGCGCTTCAGAATAAGGTTGATCGACTTGTGATTTGGAATGGGCCCATTCGTCTCCATATCATTTCTAAGTTGCTCTCTTTCTCATTAACTTTTTATATAAACAATTTTATTAAGACTTTTGTTTGAAAGTGTTTTAGTGATTTATTGGCATTTTTGATGAAATTGTTTTATACCTTTGGTTAATGGCATTTTATATTTTTTGGTTAGAATTTATAAAAATTTGGTTTATTTGTTATTTTTCTTTAGTCGATTTTTATATTATTTTTATTTTTATAGATATATTATAACATTTATATTGTTATAATTTGAGAAAACAATGTTACAATTTGCTAAATTTGCCATATACAAAAATATAGTAAAAAAATAAAACCATAAAATAGTTATTTTCAAATAATTTTTACAGAGAATTAGAAGGAAAAATTATTTAAATAATTTGATTTTTTTTATAGAAAGAGAAATAATTCAAGAACGAATTAAAATTATTATACATATATATGTAAGAAAAAAATGAAAAAAGATTTTTATTAATTAATTTAAAGTTAAACTAATAAAAATATATATTTTCCCAATTTTAGTTTTTGACAACAATGTGACGTGTCACTTAATTATATAATAACATTTTTAATTTTGTTATTCTCAAGATTCAAATTTAAAATGTTTTTTTGTTTTGTCAAAGTGAATATTAACATCAAAATGGTAAAGAAAAGCATTTTTAATAATAAAAAAATAATATAAATAACTATAAATAATTAATATTAATTCTATTGATATTTGTTTTTGTAAACTATAAACTCAGACAATGCGATTGATATATGGTGTGAATGCCGATAGTGTTGCCAAATTTGAGATAGTTGACGAAGATGACCTTTTTGTGTTTTATCAACTCCTTGAATTGGGATGTTTAGTGACATCTAAAACACTCGAAAGTGACTCAACAGC